GGATATATGTACATGGTGTATGCATCCTATATCGTTCATGCAGCCTCTAATTTAAAAAAAACACAATTTTATAAATTTTTTTCATTTTTCTCAATTTTGCATTTTCCGGATTTTTAAGGAGCACCAAATGAATCAGGAGGAAAAGTATTCTAGCTACAACCTTCAAACATTGCATGCTTCTTTTCATTGATATTCTTTACGAAATTCAAGAGGCTTTTTTTTATAAATATATCCAACTAGAAAGTTTTATAACATTTTTACATTTGCTATCCCTGAAGAGTTCTCAAATATTTATGTGACCCCCACATACATGCCATTTGTAACACTTCAATAACTGCTGTGTAATAATCTTCTTTAAACTTTTTGTCAATGTTGTTCTTAATGTGTATGCCAAGATTCATATACAATACAGTACAATAATTTACAATACAATGCAATACAAATTTGTCTTTATTCATTTTGCGTATAGTCAAAATTGGTATTAAATGTTTAATTTTTTGCAATAAAAGTCACAATCTTAAATAAAGGATTTCATTTTAATACTTACATTAATATTATTACTTTTCTAAAATTCAAATGAAAACAATAAATGTATTTAAATCATCTTCATTACTAGATTTAGAAAAAATTATTGATCTACAAAAATGGCTTAAACTAAAAAAAGAAAATAAGAAAGAAAAAAAATCTACCGGTACTAAGAGAAATTAACAAAACAAAAATAAAAAAATAACTAAAAATAATAAAACTATTAATCAATGACGTAACAAGGAGAAAAAACAATTTCAAAAAATAATTCTCATACTATTATTGATATCACACCCGGCTCCGAAGCCATTTAATATGTACGGAACCACTCCAGGTGCGAATAGTCATTGGCTACCATAGGTACCCGGGTACCTATAGATGCATCCATATCATAAATTAAAATTTAATGCCTTAAAAATGAAAAATTAATTTTTAAAATATGTTAACTGAGTCAGGTAAAAAAAAATTATTTTGTCAATTTTTATATCATGACAGTTCCCTATTACCCATATGGTACTGAAGCAAATGATGACATGTTAAGCTCAAAGAAATATGGCAGGTCATTATATCAAGGGGCCATCTTAGTGAGCCCATCCATCTATTTGAGCACTGCAGCACCTTTTGGAAATACACAAAAATTGTACAAAGTAGCATACGTGAGTTTAATTGTTGAAATCATCATCATATGTGATTATATAAAAATCTGAACATCAAGGCTTGAAGAAATTAGAATACTTCAGTTTTCAGATTTAAATAGGGGGTTACACTGTTAATTATAATTATACACCACAGCAAATGTGTGTAGTCCGTGTGTATGTCTACCCAAGTGTGTAACAAATGTCACAATATAAAAGAAAGTATTGCACACAGACAATACACTACTCATGTATGAGAACAGATCAATCATCGTCATTGTACTCAAATATAAGAAACACAATTTATGTAGTTATATGTTTTTAAAGGTTCAAATGGAAAAACATGTTTTTTTATTTTTTTTCCATTTATCAGCATTGGTGACTAAAGTATAACTATTTTAAAATCATATTTTAAATGCATTACATTTCTAGACAAAATTAAGCTGGTGTAATTTTATATTCTCAAGACAAATAAATTCAATCTCAACTTCCAAAGTTGTCATACATATAGGGTCTAAAAAAATGTCTCCTTTCAAAAAAAAATTCTAATGATACCAATTAAATGATTATTTTATTTCTATAATTGCATTAGGTTTAAAACACTGATAACTTTTATACTAATTTTGTGATATTAAAACATATACCTTAATTGACTAATTTTTTTAATGAACATAATCGGACATAACCAACTCTTTAATTTCAAATTATTTCTGTCAGGTCACAAGTAATGGACTCATTGTTTTTGGTGATGAAAGTATCTCAGCTAGTCCCAATCTTATTTATGCTTCATCTCAACAATGGAACATTATAGCACCCTACTGGACTGAAATTAATCCTAATTCAGGTCAGAATTTATACATTTACTTATTTGCTTAATGCTAAAAGATGTTTCATATTCTGGTTTGAAGTGTTTATTTTTTACATCGTGTAGTCTAAAATAAGTAACAATTAGATTAATAGAGAGATAATTTAAGGTATAAAATCTTTTTAATGATAGACCTTTGACAAGGAGTTCAAGGAGATTGTGGATATTGTGTTAAGAGTTCAATACTTTGATACGAAATAAAAAAAATTAAAAATAAAATAAGACCTACACAAGAGCTAAAAATCTAAACATTGAAAGACTTAAATTGCAAACAAAAAAGAATAGGTATATAATATTGTGGCTCAATATCTTATTATAAAGACTAATATACATTTTTATCCAGTGCTGGTGATTTCAGTATCTAGTCTAATAAGGATTTTCTTTTCTTTAACTTTAATAAAAAATCTTAAGGTTAGCATATTAATATTTACAATAATTTTTAAACTACAAATATTTTTCTTAAACTTTTTGCCAGGCCTTGTAAACTACCACCTTTATGAAAAATGTGGTGAGGCTACTTTTAATGGAAAAACTGATGATTCAACATCTCCATTTAAAGAGAAAGTAATGTCCCGTGCTAGTCAAGATTTAATGAAATATTATAATTTTACTGGTTTTGATGTGGACAAAGTTTTGGTAGTATCTTGGGTGGAAGTCCAGCATCGTTATGTAAGTACATCATATTTTAATGAAATAAATAATATTAATTGATAACATTAATTTCTGTGTCAACATAACGTAAATCATGATGTGCAAGAATAATATACAAATTGACACTGTCAAAAAATATCATTTACTAATGCATTAATTGATTTTTCTTTCAACTTAGTAAACTTGTCTAGAATTTATGAAAAGGCTACTTAAGACAATGGTTTCATTTAAATTTTTTTGATTTAGATTCTAAATATTTAATGCATTTTCACTTACGTGGAAATATTTTTTTATATATAAGTGAACAATTTTATGTTCAAAAAAGCAATGACAGTAAATACATAATCACCTGTGGCTTTTCTGTATCATCAAAGGGTAAAGAGAAAAACACATTTCAAGCAGTGTTCATAAGTGGCTGGGAGAAAGTGTCCAACAATGGAGATAAAATATTAGCAGGTAAAGTATGTTTATATGAAAGCATATTAAACTTAAAACAAAAAAAATTATTGCCTGATCTGGATAACAATAAATGCAAAAGTATTATATTTTCTCTCTAAAAATTGTTAAAAGTTGATTTTAAAAAAAAATGCTTTAAAAAATCATTAACGTTGTCAAAAATAATATGCCATCGATAATATATTTTTATTGGCAAAATTTTCAGTGTATCTTTAGGAACCATAAGCCTACATATTTAAACCATAAAATAATGGCATACTTTTAGGAGAGGAGACTTCATATGTAATATTCCTGTACCAACAAGGACAGATGAACTGGCCTTACATTGCAGGAAGGCTTATCAATATTGGGTTGACTGGGAACGTCATGCCAGACACCAACACAGTGTTGGTCAGCACTCTAGACAAAATTAAAGGAAATACAGGTATTAACAGTATAAATAAAGCAAAAACTGAATCTAAACATATCTATTAAAGCTGAGAATGGAATAACTTACATCATAAGTGAATATTCAAAGAAATGCAAACAATGAAGTTGTATGAGTAAATATTGCACATTGATCACTAGGTCTATTAATATATAATAACAACTATCATATAAATCATAAAGTATGGGCTTAAAAAAACACAAGTGCTCATGTCATAGTAAACATTTTCCCAAACTGTGAGCAGCATTTTCTTCGGTAGTTATGGCTTCCTTACAGGAGCGATGTGAAGTTTTAAAAAAAATAATGAAATTCATAACAAAATCATTATTTCACAATTCACTCATTAAAACTTGATAAGGGACTCATTTGAAAAAGAGGCAAAATGCAGCAAGGTTGCCATATTTCCTAAAAATTTGGGAAAAGTGATCTAGTTGCTTCTAGTATGTGAAGTTTTCCATTTTTACAAAATAAAAGCTAGTGGTATTTCCCTTCAGGTTTTAATGGTGTCTTTACTTACAAAACGGGAAGTTCCAGCAGTTCATTTCAAAAATGTCACAGCTATACCTGCAGCAAAGTTGATTTGTTGTCTAATCCTGTCTATGAGAATGAAAAGAGAACATTATATGGGTGTCCATGCACAATGGAAAGACTTGGGGCACAGTGGCAGCTTTATGAAACCCGTGGAAATAACAATGAAATTGAGTGCTACGCCATAAGTCATGTTGCCAAGACCAGATTGCTAGCAAGCAACAAAAGAAATAAGGTATCACATATTGGTCAACATTAAATAATTTGCATCTAAGGGAGCAATTTGAAATATTCACAAATGCATTAAATAAACAAACAGTTGCTGATCATGTCTATTCTAAGAATGATTATATTATTCAAAAGGATTTAGATTTTGTTTTAAAATTAGTTTTCTGGAGATAAAGCTTGATAACATATCATAGTTAATGAATTTTTAAGAATATAGTTCTTCTTTTTTATATCTATTCTGTAAACTGCAACATTTATACAAAGTATCTATACAAATGCATTTCAAAAGTGCTAACATTTTATTATAAAATATGAATAAATTATTTTAATAATAAAAAAAAAAAGAACATTTTGTTTATTGAATAACCCTTCAGTATGATTCACTTGTGTGTTGTTGACTAAATAATTATTAATTATCTAAATGTTTTTTTTGTTGTGGGTCACGTATGGGTTGTTAATATATTTTATTTTCCATTTTATTTATTTAGTCTCATTTATTTGTTTTAGCTGTGTTGCTATAGGAGGGACAAACCAAAAAACCCAAATGACTGGAGGGATGTTGAACAAGCAATGAGAGATGCATCATATGTACCGCGCTCTGGGCATGTTCTTATCAATGATCCATGGTCTTTGAATTATTTTGATAATTATGAGGCACGTGAAAACATAGAGGCCCATAAGACATGCTGCATTAAATCAACTAAGAACTTGTGTGATCGATTTTATAAAATATTTCCAGACATGGGTTGCAGTAACTTTGTTGTTTTTGTTCCACGTAAGAACTCTTATGTTTTTGACACTATAAAATCTTTATTAAATCTTTATGTTCTAATATTTGCAACTTGTTACAGTGCCTAGTTATTGTCAGAATTAGTCCCTGGAAATAATAATTAGCCTAGAAAAATGGTCATATTTAGGAAATGATTGAGCTGCTACTCTCCATTAACACTTTAAAAAAAATTTCAACCTCCAAAGTCATAAGCAGCTTTTTTTGCTGAGATAAAAATCTTTTGTTTACACAGAAAAGATTAAGTCTAACAAGTTAAAATATTTACATTCGCTTGAAAAAATCTTGAAGGTAAAATGTGCAGATGGAAGACAATGTCTAGTTAGGGAAATTCATAGCTGAAAAATTAAGTTTTTTTCTTACATGAATCGGATGATGCCAACCTCTTCACTTCTCCTTCTAATCTAAAGTATTTTTTTGTCTTCTTTGTCTGAGTTTCTTAAAATGAATCATGGCTAATACCAATATTTGTTTTCATTGTCTCTGTATTTGTATTTCCTGCTCTAGAATACATCGCCTATATGCTAATGTGACTTAAATGTTATTCTTATCAAACTATTTTACATTTAGGTTATGGCACAAATTTCTGTGTTTGAAACCCTTATATAATAATTAATGTTATGTCTATAATTGAATTGTTTTAAACAAAATATTAAATTCAAACTTTAATTCCTTTGTTATCTAAATGAAATGGTTACATTTAAATTGGTTTTTTAAATTATAAAAATGCATCTTTACCACTTAAATTATTGCTAAAATTTTCTCAAGTTTGAAAAGCCTTTGAGGAATCATAAAGTAGAAGTTATAATTTTTAGGCATAAAATATTGTTACTATCAAACATCTCTAGTCTAATAATTGAAAGTTTTAAGTTAGGATAGAGTGAAGTTTTTTTTATTGTTTGTTAAAATTATTTAAGCATTACAAAAGTCTTATTTGCTTCCCATCCCTCTACAGGGTCAGCTCTTGGTGATCCTCACATTACTACACTAGATGGGGTAACATACTCTATAAATGGTTGGTGTGAATATATCTTAATGGATGTAAAGTCAGAGAATTTTACACTACAGGTAATTTTAATTATAGGCCTACTTCTAAATATTAAGTATTTTTTTTAAAAGAAAGTTGAACCATTTAAATATTAAAATAATGCAACAAATTTAATTATTTATTAATTATTAAACTTATTTAAATCCTTAATGAACAATTATTTTTATTTTGATTGTACTTAATTCAATTTATTTGTACAATATTAGTTTAAGAATTTTGTTATTGCTTATCAGACTTGTTTTTACAAGAAATTTATGTTGCACAAATTGTGCAGGCCGAGTGACATTATTTAAAAGCAGGATGCCAAGAGTTTTCTTATATTTGTTTTGAAAGGTTATCTTCCATAAGTTAATCATTAATGATGAATGAAAATAAAAGTAGATTATTTCACAGTGTAGCCTTCAGACCAAAAGTATGTCGCATGTCAATAATATTTTTTAAAAAACAATAACTCTGGATCTAATGTGCATTAACCCGCTAGATCTTAGGTTCCCAACATTTTCAGAGTCAGGTATCCATTTTATAAAAGCATATTGGCTCTGGACCACAATGAATTTTTTAAACGTAATAAGCTAAGAGAAAACACATGAGAAATAGATGCAGCATGATGAAATTAGGTTAAATGTTTTAAGACACTAATTTAATTTGAACGTTTCTTAAAACTTCATTAAAAATTTTGTTAGTTTACTGCTCTAGCTGTGGTCCCAAGTAGAAACCCTCTGTGATCCCATCTGGTGTAGCCACAGATAAAATTTATAGACTAATTATATGTCTATCTATAAGCTCTCAGATCAATACTTCCAGTTACTATACTTTAATATTGCTAAATAGGCCTAAACTATTCTGTTTTAACACTACTGTATTATGAAAAGTAAATTTTGATAAATACAATATGATTGATATATTTTGTTACAAGGCAAGGACTAATAAAATTGAGAGCATCAATGGAACTGTAACAAATGCAACTGTTTTCACTGCATTTGCGGCCAAAGAAGGAGATTATGCTAAATTTCAAGTTCAATTGGCTACTAATAATAAAAGTAAGTAGCAAAATTTTTACAAAGATGTTAATACATTTGATTAATTAAGTTAAATTTATAGATTAGGTTTGTCTTGATTTAAAAAAAAAAAATTAATTCAAATATCCATTCAAAAATTGTGTTTTTGTTATGTCACTCAACTGACATCATTTCATTTAAGTTCAGTCATACTCAGTAATATAGCCTGATTGATAATATACTAGAGAATGCATTCAAGCCCTGATGGGTGTGTCTTATTTCCTGTCAAGCCTCTCTATAGTATTTTTAACCTAAGTGGTGATTTTATTCTTGTTTTTTTTATTGTTTAAGGCTTTTAGTAAAAAATATCCTTTTATTCTATTTTGTCATTGCTCAGGCTTTCAAATATCTTATTGTAATTGTTCATGTTTATTAAGACATTTTCTCTGCTTAAAATATTTATGATATAATGTTTCTACACAGCACTAGTCATCTATGTTAATGAAAGGGACCTAACAAATGATTTTTACAATGATGAAGAGTTTTATACTGAACTAGACAAGATAAGCATCACAAGGGATGATAGTGCTAATAAGACATTGGTGATAGCAACATTCCCATGTGGTAAGGAATTTTCTGCATTCAAGCAGTTCTAATTTCTAATTTTCCTTTTTTTAAAAATAAGACTGAAACCTTATTTAGAAAAAAAAATTGGCTTTACTTTATAATTATTCTGTGACAGATTTAATATTTTAATATAAAAAATGTTTATATTTCTCTCAGTCTACATCTTTTTTCCCCCTACTTCATCTTTCTACAGGTGTCACCATCAAAGTGTATGTCGCAATCAAAAGTTTGAATATTGAGTTAGAAGTTGACAAGAGGCTGGAAAACAAAACTATGGGTCTGTTTGGGAATTTTAACCGTAATAAATCAGATGAATTTACCCTCCCCAATGGCACTGTGCTGCCAAGCGGCATGACAGAGAGAGAAATATTCTTTTCGTTTGGAAAAAAATGTATGTCTATTTTTTTTAATTCTTTTTTTTAAATAAATATTTGTTATAAAGAAATTATGTATTTAGTTGATAAGTGAAACAATTTATAAGTATGTCAAAACCATTAAGCATACAAATTTACTTATTACAGGGAATGTTTTTTTTTTTTTCTAACAGTAGTTGTTCTTAAATGGAAACACTAATCCAACAAATTAACAAATTAAATTATTTTTAATAAAGGGGAAGTAACAGCAGCCAACACTGTCTTCATGTATGGAAATAAAGAAAACTCAAGCACTTATCAGCACTCAGACTTTGTTCCTGTATTTGGAGACGAGGCTTCCCCCTACATGGTTTCTGTTGCAGAAAAATACTGTGGAACAAATAATACAGCTTGTGTCTTTGATTACATTGTTACTGGAAGTGAAGACTTTGCTCTAAGCACTAATGAGTCCGTCCTCAAATTGAAATCTCTAGTCACAAATTTAGGTAACTTTATTTTCATCTCAAGATATAATAAAAAGTTGTATTATCTCAACTAAAAAAGCACCAAGACTAAAATGAAGTTTTAAGGGCCATAATTCAAGAGGGCATATTTTGATTGAGGACTTACTTTTATTGACAAGAGTAGATTAGTGGTATATTGTATATTGTGGATTGAATTAAATAACGATTAAAAATGGAGACTTATAAAGAGTATATCTTTATTTTATTTTAATTCTAATAACAACTAATAACACATGTATTTGCATACTAATAACTAATAACACATCTTTGCTCCTTAAGAAAATAACCCACCAACATTGTCTCTGAAAAACACAAGTTTCAATGGAGTTGGCCAGTGGGTTGTGAATGAACAAAGTCAAGCCACACTTGAAGTTTTCACAGAGGATACTGATGGTGATTTAGTCTATGTTGAAACTGTAGATAATCCAAAAGGAGTAATTGTGAAAGATAAGAGTATCACCTACACAGTCAACTCCAGCTTGCCTATAAAACTTGGGTGAGAGATGCAATATTTATTTTTGTACTTATGTGCTAAAAATACATTACATTAAATACTTGAATGTTTTCAAAAATTCAAAAAAAAAAAAAGGTCATTCACTTTTTTGTGTTTTAAATATTCCACTTCTTTTAAGATTAAAACTGGATCAATCTAGCCTTATAATCTTTTTTCCCATGTCTCATATATACTTTTCAAATTTTAAACTGCAAGTTAAACTGGAGGCTTCTCTACATTCCTGAAATTCACATCAACACATAATTGCATGCATCATTGTTATACCAAACTTTTTTGCTCCACCTTAAAAACCCCCACCCCCCAACACCATGATCATAAATGGGAAAGCTTAAAAAAAAGGAAACCCTTGCTCAGAAGCTAACATCAGGGAGATTGAATTAAAATCTTGCAGATTGTCTAGGCCTCAAGATTAAATTTAAATGTTTTTGGATATTGTGTAAATTAATTGAAATATATTAGTGTTATGATAAATGACAAAAAAGTAACAGCGTTAGTTTTAAAATGTGTATTTTCTGACTTAAGCGCTCCTCCCTTCACCTCCCCAACTAAACAATTTTTTTTTGGAGAAGTCGATTCATTACTTAACAATGATATTAAATTTCCCCCCAAAATGTTTTAATTGTGCCCATGTGACTTGTATACCGCAAGTTGGGAGACCCTGATATACATATTTATAATTATTGACTTCACATTTTTTTTTTACTGCAAAGATTGAATGATGTGAATTCATTGATGATGCCACACTTATATTAAAAATAATAAAATAATTTACAGTAAAATTAGAATTTGAAATTTAAAAAAATAAATAGTACATTTCTCTATCCATAGACTAAGAGCTAAGGACTCCAAAGGTGCTTACAGCCCTATAGTGTATGTATACATTGCTGTTTGTACTAGCTGTAATGGACATGGAATGTGTACCAACATCACAAGAGACATTGAAAATAGTGATGGATATTTTCAGATCTTTGAATGTAGCTGTTACCCAGCCTATACAGGTAATGTTACATAACAAAAACAGTGCATCTACTTTTAATAAATGCAGCTTTAACATGCACATAGAAGCTAAATTTCCATTAGGAAGCAGTGGTTGATTGCTAATAATTTAAATTGTAATCAACTTTAAGGAGTATATTTTAAGATACAAATTTTTGTTTGCATCTGCTCTAATGACTATGAAGAAAAAGAATATTTAAGATGAAAATTATTTTTAAAAATATTCATATCAATGCCTTAATCAGTAATGTAAGGTCAAGCACTGTTCAAAATTACAATATTTATTGAAGGCAATGAATTTTATATTTTAACCTTATGCATACCACTGAATACAAAGAAATGATCATGTGTAAAATCTGGGGGATAATTTCTCTATTTTTTTGCACCTTTTATGTTGCTTATAATAAGAAATATATTTTATCTGCTGGATTAATATACTGGAGATTAAGAACACGTTATAAGATAAGGAATTAAGGATTAAAAGGAAAGAAAAACTTAAATAGAAAAACAAAATCAAAAAAACTCCAAAAGTAAAGGACAATAGAATTTTAAAGCAAACAAGCAAAAATACAATTAAAAACAAGGAGTATGTAAAACAACAACATAATATTAGCTCAGATGGTTTGAAGCACTGTCTAGTCTAAAAGGAAACTGAACAACATTACTGTTTTCAATGTATTTCAAAATTCTTTTTAGCACAAAATTACTTTACTTGAAGAAGCATGTGAACAAAAATGATTTTGTAAAAATAATTTTAAAAATTGGATGCTTCATCCCATCTTCTTCATCACAGATACCTAAGTTCAGCTCAATAAAGGGGAATTATTTACCTTAAAGTTAGGACTAAAAGATATAAAATTCTTTTGTTCCCCAGTCTGAATTAGATTACCAACTTTCTCCCCCGTTGTTACTAAATATGAATGATCACTAATTAAGTGATTATTGTCACTGATGGCTGATTGCTATGCTAGATAAATATGTTAGATGTTTTGTGTTTAAACTTTTATAATTGTAAAATGCTGCCTTGCTTAAAAAATGTCTTTAATTTTTATGTGATGAAATGTTATAGGTACAATGTAATAAAAAAAGTTTCAATTTATTCGGATCAATAATAAATCTTAACTTAAAATCTTATCTGATCAATCGAAGCAAATGTATTTTATTTTATTTAGGAGCTGACTGTGAGTTAGAGTTGGACTCTTGTGCCAGTAAACCTTGTTCTGTAGGACAGGAATGTACAGAGCTAACAGCTGCTCAACAAGGGAACAATCTCACAGGATATATGTGTGGTCCTTGTCCTGATGGGTACACTAAATCCAATTCTAGTGATAGCTGTATTGGTGAGAAAAATTGTTTTGCCGTGATTAAAAAAATTTGAAATCTTATATTGTATTTTAAAATTTTAAATATAGCAAATTAATTTTTGTTGATTATTACTTTTCTTATATAAATCAATCAAATTATGTAAGTAAATTATATCACAGATATTGATGAATGCTTGTTAAGCAATGCCTGTCAACACAACTGCACCAATACCATTGGTTCCTACCAGTGCAGCTGTAGAGATGGTTTTAGACTTGATGTGTCTGACAGGAAAACTTGCAACGGTAAAAATGACATACTTAAGATTTGATTTAAATTGTTTCTATATTTGTTTATCAAATAAAAAATACATTTCATCATTTAGATTTGGCTAATTTATTTCTAGAAATGTACAATTTAAAATTTCATAGAATTATCATCATTCAGATATTAATGAGTGTGAAGAAAAGACATCTCTGTGTCAACACAGTTGTAAGAACACTGAAGGCAGCTACAATTGTTCTTGTCTTGAAGGCTATGATCTGAAAGCTGATGGGTTTACCTGTGAACTTTCAAGTAATTAGTGCTATTATCAATAAGCATTTAGCATTGAAATTAATAATAAGTTATTTGAAATAATCAGTATAAATGTTTATAAATAGATTTGAAATATGTTTTTTATTAAAAATAATTTATTATAAATTCATTCACTAAGTTTTGCTTAAGATAATAATTTCCAACTTATTGTTCTGAAATAGTACAAAATTGGTTTTTGAATACGTAGATTTAATTTATTTGCTCTCTTACATATTCCATTTAGACAACTAACAAGTTAAATAAGTCTTCTTTAAATCAACAACATTCTAATAATTTACCACATTTGTTTTCATAATTAACTCTTTTAAAGGTTCTGGACTCCAGAAATGTTCCCAGTGTCAACACACATGTATTTTTAATAAGATAAATAATTCTGCTGTATGTACATGTGATAAGGGATATTTGCAAGATGAAAAAAATGATGCTGAGTGTATAGGTAGGCAAATGCCTTATAGTTATCCCCTTAAATGTTTAAGAGAAAATAATATTTGATGGGTCTAAAACATATTTATTTGCTGGAGTTGAAAAATGTTTACACTGTTCTAAGTAATCCCCTAGATTCTGATTTTGTTAAATTACTATCTCAAATGACAAAATAAAAATTGGATAACAAATAAGCTTATAATTCATGTATCTGTAATTAAATTAACTGTCTTTTCTTTTTTTTAAAAATGAATTAATAATTTATTAATTAAATGTGTAATGTTGCTACGCAATTTCTTACACGACATTTTCCATATAGAATGAGTGATGTTGTAGGAGAAATGCTATTTGAAATAGATTGTTTATCAATTATCATGTCACATATACTCATTATTTTAAATATTTTAATATTTTAAAAGAAATTAAATAGGGTCTTGTCGCTTTTTTAAATTTTCAAATTACAAATTGATTTAATTGAAGAGAACAAAGATATCTAAGATTGGTTTATACTTTTAAGATTAATACTATTTTAACAGGTTATATTTCAAACATAATAATAAGCCTCTCATAAATTCAGGGCCAAATTACATATTATTAAGTGTTTTCCAATATCTCATTAAGTTATTTAAATTACTTATCTCACCAGACATAGATGAGTGTAAGCTTGATAATATGCCATGCAGCCAGGGCTGTAACAATACTGATGGAAACTTTCATTGTTACTGTTACCCTGGCTACAAGATGGAATCTGACAGAGTTTCATGTAAAGGTATGTGTTGCTTTCTATTACTTTTTCTTCATTTATATAAAATTTGAAATGTTGAAAATGGCCTTGAATTTAACTCGCTTAAATGTTTGTTCTTGCATGCTATTGTTTTTAAAATTATATATTTCTTTGTATCTGGAGATGATTTCATCCTGACATTCTTTTTATTACTGTATTATTATTATTTTAAAAATATAAAGACTAAATGGAAATGAATGATCAGATTAAATCCCAAATTTTATCTTGATGCATATTTTAAGTTTTTTCATTCTGCTATATGTGGTTGTTTATTACAATTTTAATGGTTAATTTTATGAACCTAGTTTTGCAAAGTTTGCGGAGTTTTAATTTTGTTTTTTATTGACATATGTACTGCAAACAATTTCTATATTTTTACATTTCAGCCTGTGAAGTTCCATATTATGGAGATAACTGCAATAAAACCTGTGATTGTAATGGTAGAGGATCATGTAACACAGTGAAAGGATGTGTTTGTGATGAGAACTGGACAGGGGTCAACTGTGACATAGATGTTGATGAATGTGCCAAACCAGGTGCCTGTCCTCAGGGGCAACTCTGCAAGAATACAAACGGATCATTTACATGTTCATGTTCCACTGGATATATCATGGAAGGAGCTGTCTGCAAGGGTATGTATTTATTTACATCATTTTTAGTATTTCTAGTTTGCTTTAAAGTCTATATTTTTGGTAGACCTTAAAATATTTTTTTTTAAAACAAGAAGGATGTGGTGTAATCTAAAATATATATATGCTGCTAAAAATAATAATAAGTTACTGATATACTTTTTTGTTACATTCTGATAATTTAGCAGTATTTAGTGTATACAAATTCTGGAATGGCAAAATTTCGCTGTACCATAGTTTATAAGTAACATTTGTTGAGCCTTCTCGTCCATGAGGGGCATCCACCGATCATCGTCGGCGTCTGCGGTTCCTCCAAGGGCATAGGCCATAGGCCACCTACGAGAGACCTCCAGGCATCTCTATCCTGGGCCAGCTTCTCCAGGATCTTCCATTCATGGCCAATTTTCTTGATGTCTGTCTCCAATTCTCGGCGCCAAGTGTTTCTTGGACGGCCTCTTTTCCGCTTACCCTGTGGGTTCCATTTCAGGGCTTGCTTTGTTATGGTGCGGACATTCCAAGCGCCAATGACGGTGGTAGTCCTGGTAGAGATGTTGGTTGTCGGCTTAATAGCTTCCAGGTTTCGGCTTTCACTATTATTCGTCATATTTTCCTCCTCAAGGAATCCATCCTCTCCCAGGACTGAAATGTCTTTTGTTACTCTTTTCGGTTCTTTTGTAACTATGATTTTTTACATGGCAGGGTTGTTGGCCTTGCGCACAACCACTTGGGGGGTTGCCCCTCACTGCTCAATGGGTAGCTGCCTTTGTTCGGGTTAGGTCCCTAGCCTTTGTGGATCCCTCCACTTCCTACAAGGCAGTAGGGCTGATTTTGGTCCGCCCCGGGTATTTTATTTCCCCGGTACCCTCCATATCTGGCGGGCTTTCCCCTATCCGCCGGCTGGGGAGGCGCTCGATAGAAGATCAGCATCTCCCACGAGTAAGTAGCATTCGATTGAGGAAAATTAATGCTATTATTTTACTTGATGGCTTTATTTAATCATTGTAAATTTAAAAGAAAATTATAGTTTTAACAATGATTATTGAATTTGTTTGTAGATGTTGATGAGTGCTCAAGCCTTCAGACCAATGGGACATGTAATTTACAAAAAGAAGTTTGTATCAACACTGTTGGTAGTTACAGATGTGAGTGTAAAAAGGGCTATGCAAGAGATAACAAATCTATCTGTCAAGGTAAGTCTCTAGATAAAAGATGTCATTTGTTAATTAAAAAGATTCACTGCACATTAAATTACAAGAATTTAAAAAAATAAAGTTTTAATAACATAAGAATAAAGAATTTGTATATCTTTTAGTCCTAAATTTAAAAGAAACAATTTTTCCCTTATCAAAGCTTGCAAATTAATTTTTGTATCTACAGATATTGATGAGTGTAAGCTACGTACAGACCGATGCCAACAGTTGTGTCATAATGTTGATGGGGGCTATAACTGTGGCTGTGAGGCTGAATACATCCTGGCTGATAACAGGCAGAACTGTACTAAAGGTGCACTAATTGATAATATTAAAACTGTATACTAAGACAAAGCCTTAGTTTGGACACTGTTATTGGGCGATTGTATTTAAGTTAAATTATAAGAGGTTCGGTACTGACACTTACTATAACAATGTCATAATAAATATAAGAAGACAGGAAATTCCAATTATAACTGTAGCTTAGTGAAAAATAATTTGAACATAGATAAAATGCACCTAATTTATTTTAAATTTTCAAATGCCCATAATGGTGCCTTTGTATGGCAATGTCTGTCTGCATTTATAGTAAAATAAATAAAAATATTTATCTGTAAGGCCTTGATAGTTTTTCAGCTTTTTTTTACAAATACTAAATGATAACCTAGTATTTGCTTTAGATTTTAATATTCCTTTTTCAAATACTAAATATTATTATTACAACTTCAAAAGTTTCATTGCAAAAACACAAATATAACATGAAATTTTTGAAAGGATACGTAACAGCTTAAAAAAAGGATATGTAACAGTTTTATAAACAGGATATGTAACAGGCTGAATAACAATATAAGACAATCAAAGAAACGTTTTGGACAAAAAACCTTCACCTGAAAGCAAAATAAAAACAGTGGACTCAGACTTTAAGAATTTTGTTTATTGTGAAAGGCAATCAAATATCTGGTTATTAATGTGTTTTTAAAAAATTCTATGAGGGCGTTCTCTACTTTATTAAAAAATAATAATAAAGAGACATAATGATACATATTTTCAGTGCAAGACCTTTGTGATGCAGCAAAACTGAACTGCACTCATGGATGTAGCTTGGATGACAATGTCAAGCCATACTGTATTTGTCCTCGTGGCTATATCAAGATAACTCAAAATGAAAAAGTCACTTGTTTAGGTAAATTATTTTTGTTACCTACTTACTTTAAAATCCTAACAGCTCAAACTTTTCCATATTCATCAAAGGTTGTCTAGTTCTTATTGATTATGTAGGCTATAGAAGGTGTCCTTAATATTTATGAGCAAATTAAATTACTCAATAATTGGACTTATAAAAATATGCAAAAATTCAAAACTATTTAAGGAAAAAGTGGTTTTCCTTTAAGCATTACTATTTCAATAAACAAATAGCACTGCAGCATAATGTTTTCTTTAAACCATAATTATAAGAATTATATTTTTATTTTTTAAAGAATTAAATGAATATGTTTATTACAGTTCTTGAAATACTTAAATTAAAGGAAGCAATACCTTTCAATGTTTATTATACTGCATCACATTGTATCATTCAATAATTGCTATGAATGTATATTTGTTCAAAGATATCAATGAGTGCGCCTCAGCTGAGAATAACAGCTGTTCCTACAAACCTGGATGTAATAACACAGATGGTGGCTATAGTTGTTCTTGTCCTGCTGGTTTCAAGCTTGACAACAATGGTCGAAACTGTCTTGGTTGGTTTTTATTTATACTTAATTTCTATGCAACAATTTAAGATCTATTAAAAAAATGGATTTCAGACACAAGCCTGATATATAATATTCACATACATGTAGAAGTGCATAGTCATTTAATTCATGAATGCATTATTGTATATTACCTAGCATGTTCTGGAGACACATGGGGTGTGAGTTGTGCCTACAATTGTAGCTGTGGCATAGGAGCTGAGAGATGTGATACTGTCAAGGGTTGTGTTTGTAAAAATGGATATACAGGTAGTTTATATTTTGTATTTATTTCCTTAGTTACTATAATACATATTGGGCCTCTAATTACTAGACCATTTAAGAAAGTGTATATAAAAGATCTGCAAGGTCACCCTGGTAAAACCAGACAGAAGAAGAAGAAGCATATTAAAGGTACAAACACAAATTTATAAAAACCATAATTGTTTTTTTTCTAAATCTAGGAGAGCACTGTCAAAATGACATCAACGAATGTACAACTGGGAACTTAACCTGTAAAGAAAGACAAGTTTGTGTTAACTTACCTGGCAGTGCAATGTGCATATGCCAGGCTGGCTATCAGTTTGATAGTCTTGGTAGCTGTTTAGGTAGGATTTCTTTTTTTTTTAATTTTGTCTTTTACCTTTTTGTTTTTAGATAAATATATCCACTTTTCAAAACATGAAGCATGTGTAGGCCTATAAAAAAATGGGTACCTTCTTTGTGCTATTACAGACATCAATGAATGTTCTGGCAACAACAATTGTACTCAAGTATGCACAAACACAGAAGGCTCATACAGTTGTTCCTGCTATGCTGGTTATACTTACAACAGTACTAGCAACACCTGTCTAGGTAAAAATAATAATTTAAATAAATTTATTTGTATCCAAATTATATTATTTTAAAAATTACATAATTAAATTAATTTGATTAAAATATAAGATATTTATGACTTTTGTCTTCAAGGAAACTGAATTATTTTACTATAGATAAACTTGGGTTTTAAGTCTTATTAAAAATATGATTTAAACCATTATTATTAAATTTAAAATCTGTGTGTGACATCATCTTATTATTCATAGGAATAATTAGTTTAATTTTAAATTACATAAATACTCTATCACATCATCAGATGTATATTTTATCAATGTCACAGTATCTAATTGTATTGATGTACAAAGATCATTTTCAAAAGCAAAAAGTTAAAGACAATTTATACAATTCCCTAATAAATTATCTAAAATAAATTTCAATATTTTAAGGAGTATTTTGTTTTATTTTAATCTTTTAAAAGACATAGATGAATGCAAATTAGGGAAAAATCAATGCGACAAAATCTGCACCAACACTGATGGAAGCTATCGTTGTTCGTGTACTGAAGGTCTTTTTCTACAGATCGATGGTGTTTCATGCCGAGGTAGTTAATGTTCTTTTCAGTTGTTTTTTTATGTGTTCGATTTAAGTAAAAAAAATGTATCAATTTATTTTTTAAATATAACAATTAACTCCTCAGATTACCATTAAAAATTATGTGCCTTTGAAACATTATCCATGTCTTTAGATTCATTCAATGGGCAATTAGCTTTACAAAATATTAAAATTAAAAATTTAACGTTATTTATTTATTTTAAGCTAATAAAAATTCAAATCAATAAGTAAAAAAAAATTGATACTAAAATATATAATTTAAAACTACAATATACTGAATTATAATTTTAAAATATTTGAAATATTTTATATGTCTAAAACAAATTACCAAATATACAAATTTAGAGAAATGTACTTACAAAAATCATTTTTTAACTTTATTCTCAGCTGACAAGCCATGTAATACCAACAGATGTGTTGAGAATTGTGCCAACATTAATGGCATTGATACATGTTTATGTGGGAAAGGAAAAACTCTAGCAAAAGACAACACTTCATGTGATGGTAAATAGATTTATTATTTTGTATTTTAGAAAAACTTCTATAAATTGGAAGCAATGTATTTTTTGCACTGTATTCAGACCTGTTTACCCTCAAACTCTAAAAATCCAATAATATCATCACATAATTGTTCAATACATTCTCTTTATAAAAACAAAATGTGCAGAATATATATATACATCTCAAAATTGTACATTATTCGCCAAAATCGTAAAAATAAACAGGTCTGTGGATTTTCCCTTGTGATAAACATAGTTATAAAAATTGTTCCTAATTACTTTAATGCTATTTTATTTTGACTTCACTATTCTCATTTCTGTTTTATGTTCTTTTTTATGCTGGTGAAAGCTTCTAGCTGAAACAACAATTTAATTGTCATGTTTCTTTTTTACTTTCAACTTTCCCCTATCTTATTCTATTTCCTTCAAAAAGCATGAATGCAGTCCCTTATATCCACTTTTTAAACTGTTTAAAATGTTATTATCTTCTTGGGTTTATTTGATATTGAAACATATTTAAAAAACCTTTAAAAAATATGTCAAATGGCTTTTTACACATCTTTTGCACTATATTAATGATACAAATTCATTTATTTTATTTTTAATACTTTTTAATATTTTCTAAATTTATTTTGTTTATTGTAATGTTTTATATGTTTGTAAAATATTTCTTTCAGATTTGGATTTGTGTAAACTCAGCTCTTGTTCTGAAGGATGTGTTGAAACTAAAGGAAATAAAACGTTTGAATGTTTATGTAACATTGGCAAATACTTGGCAGCTGATGGAATAACTTGTACAGGTAATATGATTTATTAAACATAGTGTGTCATAAAGAATGAAATTGAGTAAAATTGCTATATTTAAGTTAGAAATATGTTAATTTCAGCTAACTGTAATAGAATTATTACAACTTCTGAAAACAAAATGTACAATAATATTGATAAATTAAGCCAACTAAGACATTTTGAGGTCAAGACAATGAAAAGGAGCTTACTGAAAAGAGAGTTCAACATCAGGTTAGGCTTTGGTCAAGGAGACTCACTCTCTAGCATGGGGAAGTTTATATGGATGCTCATACTGGAATAATCACAAAACTCTTTAATGGAACTTCAAACACAGCCACTTCACAACTGATCTTTGGTATGGTTGACAACCATCCATTTTCTCTTTCTTAGTTTGATGACAGCTCCCTTGCTAGGCCAATTGAGTTTGAAATCAGAGTTTTCTTTGTTTTTAATAGGTCACCATACAAGTTGATGTTCACAACTATATATAATGCCTGAGTTGATTTTTTTTTTAGGCTGGGTATTTTTGGGGTTTTAACTCTAAAGTCACACAGCCATACCTAACTAGGGCAAAAGCAAATACTGTAAAACGTCAATTTTCCAAATTCGATTTTCTAAATGCTGTCTTTCGTTATTATTCAATTACATTCCCATGGCATATAAACAATTGAAATCTATTCAAACAATTGAGTTTAAAAAAAAGGTTCCTGACATTAATTATTTGCTGACCCCTATATTCAATTTATAATTGTTCCATTATCCAACAAAATGGTTATCTGGGCGATACGAGATGCCATTAAATCAGAATGATTTATGTTCTTTTATAATTTAACTTCAGAGTGCATTGATGGAAAATATGGAATGAACTGCAATAATAGTTGCACATGCCAAATGTCAAATACCAAAACTTGTGATAATGTCAATGGAGCCTGCATTTGTCTCCCTGGCTGGAAGGGAGAGAACTGTACTATTGATATAGATGAATGTGCTGATAACTCAGGATCATGTCAAGAACATTCTCACTGTGTAAACAGAGAAGGATCTTACATCTGTGTCTGTGATGATGGATTCATTCAGAAAGATAAAATGTGTGCAGGTTAGCAAATTTCCCATTCATGTTGAAAATAATTGATAATTAACTTTAATAAATAAATTTGACATATATTTCTCAATGAATCTTTTTAAAAAAATAGACATTTAACATTTATTTAAAAACTGTAACCTCTGTTATATACTTAACTTTATTGGAATAAATGTTAATTTCATTAAATATAAATATTTTTAAAAAGGTTTGTCACACAAATAAATACATATTTAGAATAAGATCTCTTTCATTTTGTATGTAACTTTCTTAGAATGTGATGAAAACTGGTATGGCCCAGCTTGCTCATTGCCTTGTTCATGTGGAGAACATTTTAAGTGTAACAAGACAAATGGGCTCTGCTACTGCAAGCCTGGCTGGAGGGGAGACAACTGTGAGAAAGATATCAATGAATGCACTGAGGAAACTCATTACTGTAACTCAACACAGCACCAAGTTTGTGAAAATAGTTTAGGGGGATACCAGTGTGTATGTCAAACTGGCTACACAAAACAATGTGATGCTTGTGATTGCAAAGGTATGATTTGTATTCATTTTATTATGTTAATAATTTTAGTATAACTCATTCCTATTTCCCAGAAAAATATAAATGCTATGATTTTTACCAATCTTACAGCTATACAAATAGATGGTTTTCAGTATTAACATGTTTGGGTTTCATCAACTTCTTTTTGTGATTTACAAATGTAATATTCAACTCGTCATTCAGACAAGGTCTGTTGCTTGCAAAAAAGGAAATCATTAGCTTCACTGACTAATAAAATCAAGGACTAACAATTAAAAATGTCCACTCCTGTAAAATGCTTGTCAATTTTCAATATAATATATATATATATATTAGACTTTGGCTATCAATTATTCTGCAAAATAATGTGTTATTTTCATAAATATTCTGGCAGATAAAATATGTTTGAATTTAAAACATTAATTTAATTTCTCTTGCCCTGAACTATAAAATGGTCCTTGTGTGGATATCACTTTGACATGTTTTTCCTCAGGACTTCCATTCAGACATACAGTTTCTTCCATCATAACATTGGATTACACTTCAGGTTTTGATCTGACAGACAAAAAATCAAATAAATACCAGGAGCTATCAGTAGAGGCACAAAAAGGAGTATGTCTTGTAATGTTTATTTATTTACGAGTGAAAATAATACTTGAGACAAAGATCATGGAAATGTACATTTTTTACTTTTTATTTCAATTCTAATTTAGCAATTTTGTAATATATTTATGCATCAGTAAATAACATATTTACAGTTCTTTGTAATATTTCAAATCTATTTATTGTGATCCATTGTGCCCATTTTATTTCAGTTGTTTGAAAGCTTGAAAAAGAAGGAGGCTTCAGTCATCTCTGTGGCTGTAACTAACCTCAGGTACTTTATACCCCGCTCTTGTTATTCTTCAGCAACAATTTTGTAAATACATATTGAATTTATAATTTTTAAAGACCCGTTATAATTTTATATTTAAACTTAAAATGCTCATGTCACTGGTCATCCCCACAGACAAGGAAGTCTTATTATTGAAACTGATATTACCATGGCAACCAATAACACCACTGATAAGGAAAGTGAGCTGAGACTGTCCAGGATATTGGTGGAAATAATGCAGGATGGAATAGGCATTACAATAAACAATACAGATGGAGTCATATTACATCTGATAATAAGTGGATTGGAATGTGAGTCTCTCTTTAATTTAATCATTTGTAATGTAAAATTATATTTGATGTCTGTACATAAACTTATAAAATGTAAAAGCCACTCGAATATATTTAATGCAGGCCTAATTTCTAGATCATACAATCTGCACATTCTGTAGATAAAGTATTTTTCAAATGTATATTCATATATTATATATTTGTCCAAATTATTTTAGAATTTAAAAAACCTGCTTTATATTTGTTTTCAAATTTAAATAAAACTGATCACTTATTATAATTTGGTAAAACTTTTTAACACACCAGTTTTAACAAAGATTAACGGCACCTTTATTGAATTTTTATGAAACATGTTTTTATCAAAATTATGAATTGTTTTAGAAAGCCACATAATTCAGTCTGTTTTTACACTGAAAAAATGCCTCTTCATAATTTTACTGAAATTGTTAAATTTATAACCTGATATTATAAACTGTAAGTTGTTACAGAATCTAACCCATAAATATTTCTGATGACCTGAAACTCTTGTTTTGCCATTAGCTGCATAAAAAGAAATACAAATGAAGCTGTTAACACAAATATTGCATTTATAATTAAATTCAATGTTTATATTAATTGTGTTCTTCCTCATAATTTAATGTTGATTTCCATCCTTTCACAATTTTACTCCAGTTCAAAATACTGACACTCCTTGTAAAATAAAGAGTAAGATAGACCCATGTTCAGATTCAGAGTTGTGTGTAGAAGAAGGGAAAGAAGCCACTTGCAGGTGAGTCCATTTGTTTCAAGACATCTTATAACAAGTGCCTGGAATTGGGCCATGATATGGATAGCTTGATTAGCAACTATGGTTACCCATTTCTATGAAAAATCTTGATTTCATTACTGTTATGATCAGATCAAATATGAATCATGCTAGCTCCTCACCATGATTTTTACGGTGATAAGATTAATAAAAAAAAAACTGCCACAAAAAATCTTTTCTGCCAACTCAGATTTGAATTCCTGAAGCAAATCTCTAAGACAACAAATATTTAAAATATTTCATAATAGCAACAGTGTAGCTGAGTGTAGCTTAACTCATACAAATTTAAACATAAAAATTTATATCTTTCTTTTTCTAACTGATTTTTCATTTAATAATTTCAGATCCCAAGAAAAACGAGGTATTTATCATATATAATTTTTTTTTAAATGACTTTTGTATCATTTAAAATAAAAACTTACTTTATTCCAGTGCCCTTATAATACTAACAGTATAGTTTTTATTAGGTAAAAAAACAAATTAAATTTTTCTCATGACTTTAGATTATTTGGGCAAAGTATAAAGTATTGATTGTATCTATCAGCCTGCTTCATCATAGACTTATGCCTTAAGAATCTTAGAGAAGAATAAATTAATTTACTTTTTTTAAATGATCCTTAAAAAATTTGTCAAACTGATGACTAACTATCAAATTAAAACTTATGAATACTTATGAAAAGGAAACAATTTTAATATGTTGATAGATTTTTCTTGATCCATCACTACAGTCTGAATAGGGACCTTCATTCAATTTGATGATAATATAATACGTTTTTATCAGATTTCCTTTAATGATGCCCTAATGAATTGCTTTAATGATTTGCCCTAATGATTTTTATGCCAGACAATATTAGTTTGATTTTTAGTAATATAAGCCTTTTAAAGTGCTCTTACACCATCAATATAAGGACACATTATAAGACAAATTTAATATTTCAGTTTTTATAGCATGCACAAGTTTTAAGAAGAATGTTTATTTCAGATCAGGCATTATGAGTTGGATTTTAGTAATTTAAAGCCTTTTAATGTGCACTTAGACCATTATTATAGGGACACATTTAAAAGAACTTGAATAATTCAGTTTTTAACAATTTTCATTTCAGATCATCTGAAACTTATCCTAGGCTTGAGTATTGGCCTCTCTCTGTTTGTTCTCCTGTGTATCGCCATTATTGTTGTTGTATGCTACTGTAAGAGAGACAAAAAGAAAATCGAGAGGTTTGAGCCACACATCAACAGAGCTATGAGCATACCAGAGGGTGAGTGGTAGAATAAAAATGTGCTTAATGATATTCTTTTGGGATGGTTATTTAATATTATACTTCTTATATCCTCTTTTAATCTTAAAATATAAAACGTGCAGTTTTGTAATTACTTAATTTTGAATGAGTAGACCAAAGTACAGTTAAACCTCAAAAAAAAGACAGCAACAAAACAACTAACATGTCGGCAGGAAGCCTTAGTCAGTGAACCAAACAACTGAAAAAAAACAGTATAAAATAAAAAATAAATAAACAATAGCACTTAGCTCAGAAGTAGTATCCGTGGGCAGCAAATGAATTGTTACAGAAAGTGAGTGAGTGAGAGATTAAATAGGGAAGAGGGAAAGAAAAGATGAGAAGTAAGTCCACTGATAGGTTGGAACGCGGAGGGGCGGAGTTAGTTTCAAGCTGTGAAAAGAGACATGACGTGCATACCATGTAGCGTCATTGTGCCATAAGTCATGATAAGCCTGTGTTCCAAATTCACCCGGCTGGGTGTGTTCGTGCTAGCCACGATCAAACTTATTGAAAAGTCTTTTGAAGTGTTTGGAGATGGGACACTGTTTATCTTTTTTAATTTTTCTGGAGGTGTTCAGTATACCTGTCAGAGAGTCGGTGGCCAGTCTCCCCTAAGTACGTCATCTGGCAGCAGGTGCAGACAATGGCCTAGACAACTTTGTGGCTTGTACTAGGAAACTGTCGCGTATCTGAAAACTGCCCTTAGGGAAACGTATGTGTCGAGTCTGAACGACAAAAGAGCAAGTGTTGCAACAGCTGCGTCCACATGGCAGTGGGATGGGGCAGCGTTGATAAGACTGCGCACAAGGAGGTCTCTCAGATTTTTATCTCGTCTGAAAACAATGAGATGGGACGAGAAAATTTCTCGTGGGTCTGTGTCTGCCAATAGTATAGAGTGTTGTATACGGAAAACACGTTTAGCTATAAGATTGTAGTGGACTTACTTCTCCTCTTTTCTTTCCCACTTCCCTATTTAATCTCTCACTCACTCACTTTCTGTCACAATTCATTTGCTGCACACGGATACTACTTCTAAGCTAAGTGCTATTTATTTATTTTTTTTATTTTATACTGTTTTTTCTGTTGTTTTGTTCGCTAACGAAGGCTTCCTGCCAACACGTTCTTTGTTTTTTTGCATTCCTTTGTTCAGGTTTAAACCTACTTGGGTCTTCTCATTTTATATTGTGCTAACCTGTTGGCAGTCTTACCCCTTATTACTTAATCTTGAACTCTAAAATTATTATTTTTTCTAACGTGTTGGTAACACCTTTTAAAAAGTTGAAATTAGTCACAGTAGCAGCAGGGTGAAGTTGGCTGAAGTAATTCAATGATTATATAATACTTTTTTCATGACTCTTTAAAAAAATGGTAAGCCTATTACAATTTGAAAAAGTATCCATTGTATGTTAGTAATTAAATAATTTTTTTGTTACTTAATTTAAAAAATGTGCATTCTTTCAGATTTGTATAACTCTGAAAAGACCCCGGTTTCATCAGGGAAAATTTAAAGCCAGCATATATAATAATGAAGCCGTGATTATTTTTTTAAAAACATATTCAACAAAACTTTCATTTTTAACATTAAATATAATAACTATATTAGTTTCCATTTATTTGCAATGTGATGTTATAAAATTCGACTATTTGGAAATACGCTTGGCATAACCAATGTATAAATCTTGTCAAATAAATTATTTGTTTTTTTTAATGTAATAAAATTTATTTGTGCAGAAAGTTTTATGGTGTTTCGTGATTTTATAAAATGTTGATAACAGAAATCTTCTGAAGAGTTTTAATAAATATATATTGATTTTAATTGGCTATTTAAATTTTATTGACACAATAGCATTAGGATGGTGCACAATGTATAGTTGAAAAAAAACTGTTACATTTTTCAATGGTCTGACCACCCTAAAATAAAACTATTTATGAAAATTATTTTGAATTTTTGTAGCATTTACCTGAAGGTCGTCGGCATTGAAGTGTCTTATTACAATCTTATGTGCCATAAAGTTCATTGTTATAGTATTATATGTATTGACCATTAAAACGTAGTTCAAACTACTTAATTTACATAGAATAGCATATTAACCTCATAACGCTTCATACACACTTTTAGAATGAAAAATCATGGTTTTTAAATCAGCGTTTAGGGGCTATATTATTCATGTGCAAAGTGACATCAGTGATCAATGTTGTTTCTTACAGTGAGGTGAACACAGACTTCTTAGCCAGGTAAACATCGACAACTCTGGATTACAATTTTTAGCAAGAGTTGTTTCTGCTCCTCCTTCCTAATGTACAGTGCTGTTAAGCTCTTGCTGTGAGAGCCACGGCCCTCTCTGCTGTTAACCTCTTGCTGTGAGAGCCACGCCCCTCTCTGCTGTTAACCTCTTCCTGTGAGAGCCACACTTCTCTCTGCTGCTAAACTGTCACAGTGAGTGCTACTCCTCTCTCTGCTGTTAAACTGATTCCATGAGAGCCACGCCCCTCTCTGCTGTTAAACTCTTGCTGTGAGAGCCACACTTCTCTCTTCTGTTAAACTGTCACAGTGAGAGCTACTCCTCTCTGCTGTTAAACTAATTCCATGAGAGCCACACCTCTCTCTGCTGTTAAACTCCTGCCGTGAGAGCCACACCTCTCTCTGCCGTTAAACTCTTGACTTGAGGGCCACACCTCTCTCTGCTGTTAAAATCCTGACTTGAGAGTTACTCCTCTCTCTGCTGTTAAACTCCTGACTTGAAAGCCAAACCTCTCTCTGCTGTTAAACTCTTGACTTGAGAAATACACCTCTCTCTACCTAGTCATTAACCAGCCCAAACTGTTTTAACTATCCCCCATCCTGCTTTAGGCCTATAGCCATTTCTGAGATTCCATGTCTCAGGATGTCATTCTAGAATGCCAGTTGAGATGTTCAAACGGGTGAAGAAATGTATCGTGTTTTTTTAACAACCAATTGTATTATGTTCATTATATTCTATGTCTTGGACTTAAGCTGAATAATTTTTGGAGGTTCATCCATTCCTTCATTTTCATAAATTGTCTTTAACATTGCTCGCTTTGATTCCAATAACAGCGTTTTGGATATTAAAACAAAACGCAGAAGAAATACAACTCTTCACTAAGATACCAAAGCTGAGTTTCAAATTTCGTGGTGACAACTTTGTGGAGGGCAGCCTTTACCTGTCTTATTCAACAAGATTTTGAAGGAGCTTTAGATCATTATAAGGAGCAGAAATATGCATGAGGTGGAAGTTAACATGTTTTGATGCAGCCCCTGATAAGGAAGATGGATATTTTAGAAAATCCGCTTTCCTCTTCTGCAGTGAATTTGAATTGCCTTTGGGAACATCCATACTTTAAAAATGTATGATGGTTTAGCCATCCAGCTTGCATGATGAAGAGCTCCAGGAGCCATAAACCGAACTCGGCATGACATGTTACTTTTACTTTTTTTATGTCTAACTCGAGAAATTCCTTGTAGTCAACTCTGTGCTTCGAAGCTTCAATTTTATCAATTCCATGAGACTGTTCTTGTCATATTTTAAAATACACGTTTCATTAGCACCGCTTTCATATCACGATTTATTTATTTTTCTCCATGATTGCTGGAAGATGAGTTCACCACGTCCAGTGGTTGCAGTCCCAATACTCTCACAGATGACTCTTGACAGAACAATTATTAAAA